GGGGATGTCTTCAGCTGGTGACTCAGGTCAATTCGTTGAATGCCCTTAAACATTGCTTGAATGTTGATACTATGATTACAACTCTGCCTGAGGAAATGGGGACACTGAGACCAAGGGTTGATCTGACTTGCACTGAGAAATGTTGCGGTCATCAGAGAAGCTGGAATCCGATCCAGACGGTGTGGTTTTGAAACTACACAGTCCAGATTGGGGTTTGAACCCACTGTCCTGGGATTGGATGCATCTGGTGCTAGCTAATAAAGTTCAGGTTCTCATGTCGCGTCCCAGAAATAATTCAGGGAGAGACAAACTGAGAGGTAACAAGTGGATTTAGTTAGATACATATTGCATACACAGCCCATCTCAGAAAGCAAGAAAGACCTTGGGAGAAACATACTCCACAGAGTGTGAGCCATCTCAGAAGGTGGGAAGCCATGAAATATGGGTGGTTAGTTCTTCAGTTCATTTCAGTTCAGTTGCTTAGTCATGTCTGACTCTTTTCGACTCCATGGACTGCAGCACACCAGGCTTCCCTGTCCATCACCAACTCCCAGAGTTTGCTCAAACTCATGTCCATCGAGTCAGTGATGCCATCCAACCATCTCTGTTGTCCCCCTTTCCTCCCGTCTTCAATCTTTCCCAGCATCAGGGTCTTTTCCAATGAGTCAGTTCTGCGCATCAGGTGGCCAAAGCACTTGAGTTTCAGCTTCAGCATCAATCCTTCCAATGAATATTCAGGACTGTTTTCCTTTAGGATTGACTGGTTTGATCTCCATGCAGTCCAAGAAACTCTCAAGAATCTTCTCCAACACCACAGTTCAAAAGCATCAGTTCTTCGGTGCTCAGCTTTCTTTACACACCAACGCTCACATCCATACATGACTACTGGAAAAACCATAGCTTTGATTAGATGCACCTTGCTTGGCAAAATAATGTCTCTGCTTTTTAATATGCTAAGTTGGCCATAGCTTTTCTTCCAAGGAGCAAACATCTTTTAATTTCATGGCTGCAGTCACCATCTGCAGTGATTTTGGAGCCAAAAAATTAAAGTCTGTCACTGCTTCCATTGTTTCCACATCTATTTGCCATGAAGTGATGGGACCGGATGCCATGATCTTAGTTTTCTGAATGTTGAGTTTTAGGCCAGCTTCTTCACTCTCCTCTTTAACTTTCATCAAAAGGCTCTTTAGTTCCTCTTCGTTCTCTGCCATAAGGGTGGTGTCATCTGCATATCTGAGGTTATTGGTATTTCTCCTGGCAATCTTGATTCCAGCTTGTCATTTCACATGATGTACTCTTCATATAAGTTAAATAAGCAGGGTGACAATATTTGTGCTGCAATCCATGGGGTCACAAAGAGTCGGACCTGACTGAATGACTGAGCTGAATTCTGTGGAGACTGAACTCTGTGCTGCTGTAGCTGCCGACCTTCAACACCCCCTGAGGGAGGTCAGGGTGGAGAGTGAGGCACCCTCTGCTTCAGCAAACCTGGTAGGACAGGTCTTTATTATTTTTTTTTTTTTTCCTTATTGCCTCATCAGGTTTATAAGTAAACTCAGTCAAACCAAGGTAGAATTGATAAAGTACACACAAATGCTGAAAAATAATGGTTACCTGCTATTTTTATGCTAAATTATACAAAACATTAAAACAGTACCTGATTAAGGACTATATTACATTTTCACCAATTTACCATATTTCCTAACTCTTTTAACCGTTGAACCCAATTGACAGAAACTCCATTTTTAAATTTTTGTTATCCACGCAACAGCAACCAAAATGCTAAATAACACTAGACTTTTTATAATTAAAAAAAATTTTTTTTAACTCTAAACATAGAACTTATAAGTCCAGCACCTATATAGCTTCTGAAATTCAGGTAAATTATTTACTAGAAATTTATGTATAAAAACAAATTAGAAACTACTAGTTGTACTCAGCAATTATTCATACCTTATTTTTCCATTCCCAAAAGAGGCTATTTGTGCAAAAGCCTAATGCTAAAAACCAATATCATAAAATATTTAATATTTCAGACTGCTTTTTCAAGGATTTCTTTTACTCTCTTGAAACATTTAATAAACAGATCATCTCAAGTATAAAAATAAAGCTCTTTTTTTACTCTCATCTAAAAGAAAATATTTCAAATAAAGAAAAGGAGTCAAGGTATTATACATAACTAAATCTGATAGGCCGAATAACGCAGGACCCAAATATAATGGAGCCATTTACTAAGACGTGAACTAAACGCAGAGCCCAAGCAGCTGGGGCCCGGGGGCTTGGATAACACGCCTGCTGACCGCTCAGAACCCACGGAACACAAGCAGACGGGGAAACACCATTTCTCTCATGCTGTTAAATCAGATATTAAAGTAACTTTTCCAGAGAAAAATTAACTAACAGTTAATCTTGTGTTACATTAAACTGGGGAAAAAATTTGTTTTTGGTCAGGAGCACAGAGGGTCAAATAAATCCAATTATAGGAGATATCAATTAAGACTCATGACACTGCTACAACTACAATACCTTTTAAACCATCTAAAAGGTTTTAAGAACAGCACCTAGTACTCTCAGACTAAAAATTATAACATTAGGAATATAAAGGGTAATTTAGGCTATACTTCTAATTTCTAATATATATTTTAGTAAAGTTAATTATCAACCAAGTGACATAATGTGGGTTTCCTTCCTCCTGTTCTAACAATTTCCAACAATAAACTTCATGTTTTTGTCTATTTACGAACTTATTAATAATGGCCAATATTGTCAGATCTTTTATTTGCCCACTGTGTTGGGGTTTGTGGGGCTCCAGAATACACCAAGACCATAAAACTCATTTAAGCTGAAATGAAAAGAATTTCTCAAAATTATAAGACTATGAATTTAAAAACATTTACAAACTTAAGATATTCTGAATCTTGGTCATGATTAGCTACCCTCAAGACCATTTATTGTGCTCCAGGCTAGCATTATATTAATCATGCCATTGCAGCCCATGAAAATTATTTTCTTCTTTAAATTCCACCCATAGCACAAACATCAAAATAGCATTACCTAAAACATATATGTAAAGAACATAACCAAACTTGTTACGAAAAAGCAGCTTGAACATTTGTGGTAGCCACTGAAGTGAGTTTAAATCTTAAAATTACTAATCAAAGTGATTTTCTATATTTTTAAAACTTTTCTAAATGTTCAGTTATATCAGATGTGTCTTTAAAAAGCTAGTTTTCTTAAGCACTGAAAAATGCCCAAGTAAGTGACTACTGCTCAGTCATGCCTGACTCTTTGCAACCCCATGGACTGTAGCCTACCAGGCTCCTCTGTCCATGGAATTCTCCAGGCAAGATTACTGGAGTGGGTTGCCATTTCCTTCTCCAGGACAGGTCTTTAGATAGTTGTATATTTTCAGGAACAGATTTTGTGATCCCATACCTTGCATCTCCTCATATCTAGAAAGAACTGAATCCCTTCATGGTGACAGCAGCTTCTCCTGATTAGTGGAAAACTCTTGTAAAGTAAGCACTTAATTGTATTGAACTCCTCCACCAAAATCTTACGCACTGACCTTCTCCCACTGCCTCTTTGGAACAGTCTCTCAGAACTATCTGAGGTGCTGCCTCCTGGGCTGCAGTCCTCATTTTGTCCAGAATAAAACTTCACTCACAACTCTCAAGTTGTGCATCTTTTTTAGTCGACAAAACCATGAAGGGGCTGAGGGTTTTGGGTACCAGAAATGGCAACCCTCTCCAGTATTCTTGCCTGGAGAATTCCATGAACAGAGGAACCTGGCGGGCTATAGGCCATGGGGTTGCAAGAGTCACACAGGACTTAGCGATTAAACCACCACCACCACTGTGTTCTCCTGACTCCGCCCAGCAGTAAAACTTCCTCTGCTCCAAACTAGGGTAGGTTTCTTTGACCTCCCTGTGTGTGGCACACATGATCTTACTTGTCTTGGGTAACAGACTAGGCCCCCCCCACCACATGGGTTTGCCCCTGCCAATAGGTTCTGATGGGGAACATTGCCCAGGGTGGGTGGGGTGGGCACTGGCCACGTGGCTCGATCCAGCACACCCTGAGGCCAGTCATGTGTCCAAGGTGGGGGAACTGAGTCCTTGGGTCCCCAAAGTTCTCATGGTGGTGGAGGCGTCCGCCCCCCAGGCCTCTGCAGGGTAACTTGGCCGTGGATCAGGAGTGCATGCCCTAGGTAGGGGCGCCCGGGTAGCAAGGCGGGCCTGGATCCTTGGTCCTGCCGGAGGGTCTCAGGGCCCGTGCGTTCTAGCGCGGGTCCCCGCGGTGGCCGCAGGGGTTGGTGGACCGCATGCGAGTTCCGGGCCTTGCAGGGCCTGGAGTTGGGGCCAGGCACCGCGCTCCACTGGGACCTGGGGAAGGTAGTCCCGGTAACTCTATGCCCAGCAGCCCACTTGCAGACATCCCTGTCCGCACCCACTTCCGGGGCGCCTCGCCCGTGCGCTTCCTCCGCTGGGGCCCTTGTCGGTCGGGCTCGAGGTTCTGCCTCGCAGGCAGTGTGCGGCCCCGGGGTTAGAGGTGTGGTGCAGGCCAGGGGGCGGACCTGTGTGGAGTGAATGAAGGACTCGAGGAACCGATGAATGAAGGAAGGCCGGCGCAGCCTGCAGCGCCCCACCGGGTAAAACTGAAAGTGCAAACCGGTGTTTTGGAGGGTGGCCGCCCACGTGCCGGTAGCGCAGAGATGTGGGTGGGTTGCCCGGGCCTGGGTTGAGGTAGACAATTTGCCCGGGAGGGGCGGGAGTGGGCGGGGACAGGCGAATGCCCCGCCCCCGACCCGCCCCGGCGCAGCGCGGGACCCGCGGGTTCCCAGCCGCGCTGAGGTCAGAGGGAGGCGGTCTGTCGTCCGAGCCGAGCGCCTGCGCCGATCCGGGCCGCGGCGGAGCGGAGCCAGAGCGTGGCCGAAGCCGAGCGGAGCGCGCGGCGGAGACGCTGACCCCCCGGCCCCGCGCCGCCGCGGCAGGCCCGGCATGGAGGAGGAGTGCCGGGTGCTCTCCATTCAAAGCCACGTCGTCCGCGGCTACGTGGGCAACCGGGCGGCCACGTTCCCGCTGCAGGTACGCTTACGTAACCCGGCGGTGTCCCCGCGCCCGGCCTTGCGGGCCAGCAAAGGGGTGGCCGCTGCCGGGCCGCGTGACCTTGGCCCGGCAGCCCGGATGATCTGGAGCGCGGGGTTCCAGACGCGGGCGGGGGAGGCGGGCACTTTGCAGGGGCGGGGGCGGGGCCGCACTTGGACCCCGGCGGGTGGAATGGGGCGGGGGTGGGGACGCTCGGTTAGAATGAAGCCCCCGGGAGCATGCTGTGAGCACCCGCCAGCCCCCGCCCTTTCCCACCGGCCCGACCCTGGGGAAGGGAAAATGCGGAGCAGCGGCCGGAGACCCAGGGAAGGTGGGCGCTGAGCAAGCAGGTCTCTGCACTGCTTACCTGGTGGGCGACCGGTCCCCATCCGGTCCCCGCCCCCTGCGGGTCCGGAGGCTCCACCCTGCGACTGCTCGTTGGGGGGCGGTCGCCTGGAGGGGATGGGACGGAGGGGGCCTATCTGCCGGTTTTGGTTCCGGAGAAGTAAAGCCCAGAGGGCAGTTCAGGCCGTGCAGGGTCTGGCTCTAGAAGCCGCTTCCTACATGTGTCAGCCTTTCCCTACTGGGGTGCCCACGGGCTTCCCGCTTCCCCCACCTGTGCTTCTGGAGGGGCTCACGGTCTCTCTGTGGTTCATCAGTGATACTCGCTGCTTCCTGTCTCAGCCCCGAGGTTGTGGTTGGGTGGCCCCTTGGAGGGTCAGGATGAGGCCTGGGTGCAATGGGGTGTCAGCCTTGGGCTCACCATCACTTCCTTGCCCTGTGGGCTAAGCAGGAGGCTGTGCGTCCAGGCTGGTGGCTCTCTTGGACCATGCATCTTTGGCCCATTGTCCCTGGGTCCGATCCTCGAACCTGGAGCTAGTGTCTGGCCCCTGCTGTGCAGGCTGTACATGAGGGCCCTGTGCTGGACCCTCAAGATCATAAAAGGCCACCCAGTCACAATGGCCTGTAGGTGCCAGCTGGCCGGAGGGGCCGTGGGAAGGGTTGGAATCCTTCAATAAAGCTTGAGGGCCGACCTGAGACTGGCCTGCCGGTCACCCGAGGAGGAGGCAGTGGAACAAAGGCTTGAAGGTGGAATGATACAAGGTTTCAAGTCCAACTGACCTGCCTGGCCGGCTGCCTGTAATCTGTGAGCACCCATGGAGATAATGTGAGGTCCTTGGCCCTCCTGTTCCCACCAGCGGGGGTGCAAACCGTGGGGGCAGCCAGGGTGCACTCCGGGACCAGTCCCGGGGCCCCAGCTCTTGGTCACTGATTGCTTGAGCAGGGCCTCTGTGGTGGGACAGTGCTGGGGTGAAAGTGCAGGATCCCTGAAGCAGGGGCGGCCCCAGAAGGTGGAACCAGGCAGTTCCCTACCAGATATGGTCCGCCTGCACCCTGCCTGGAGGGAGCCGCCCTTGGCAGAAGTGTGCAGAGGTGTGTCGACCCTGCTGCTTCCCTGGGCCTCTGTCTCTCCCTGAGGCCACTCCTTCTTTCTCTTTCCCTGGGCAAGTTGTTCCTCTGATCATCTGTTCCTTGATTTCTAGGTACTGACCTAAACTTGCAGACCAACATGTCCTTTGCCGATTACTTGATGGGATGCTCCTCCAGACCACCCACCTTGGGAAGGGCCTCTGAAGGGCTGAACCTTGGTTCTTACCTGAGGTCTCCTCTCTATCCAGCATCCTTACCTGTGGTCTTCAGGGACAGACGTTGGGGGTGCCATCCCCCTTCTGTATCCCCAGGGTGGGGGTAACACCTGTCTCTGACTTAATCCATTCCTGCACTTCCTCTTGCCTACTTAAAGAAAAACACACAGCAAGGGAGTTGTGAGTTTTAGTCATGGACTTACTGAGGACTGTAGCCCAGGAGACAGCCTCTCAGGGCACTGCTCCAGAGAGGTCAGGGAGAGGCCGGTTTGTACATGAGGTTTTGGGAACTGGGAAATACTTGCATTCAAGCTTACTTCTGGATAAAAGATTACTGCTAATCAAATAAGAAGAGATATCTTAAATTATTGATTTTCGTGTTATTCTAAGTATGAAAAGATGCAGGAATTTGGAGTCATTGAAATTCCTCTAGATTTGCATCTAACATCTGTTTACCCAAAGCACTGAGTACCTGCCCCTGTTTTTTTTATCCTGAATTCCTCAGATGGGCCACTGCTGTGGCTTAGACTTAACCCTGTAGAACTGGAAGTAAGCCAGGCTCTTTTGTTACTCTTTATTCACACTCCCCTGGAGGCTCATTCTTAAGCTGGGGACTTGAAGAGGCTACCTTCCACCTTGAGCTCTCTAGTGCTCAGTTGCCTCATCTGTGGAATGGGCACAGTGCTTGACTCCAAGGACCCAATAAGGGTGACCATCCCTGGGAGGTGCCTCGGAGGTGCTGGCTGCTGAGTGAGGTGGCCCCAATGCCTAGGGTGCTTTTCTTAGTCCTCTCTGCAGAAAGACCAGACAGGGAGGTAGTAGGGCCAGTGGGCAGCCAAGTGTGCCTGGGGCATCTAAGGGAGGCCAGGGCCTCCATCAGGCCTGGATCACTTCCTTACCTGTGTCCTTTGCCCTAATCATTTCCTCCTCCTCATGTAGTCTTGGGCGGGTGGAAAAAGCTGAGGAGGGGGAGAAAGCAGAGAGGGTGGCTCTCAAAACATGCTCCACCAAACCAAGCCCACCTTGATGGTGTACTTCAGCCTCCAGAGCTGAGGGAATTGAAAGGTTGTTGCTGAACCACGAAAGATGACAGGATTCTTGTCCTCTGGAGTAGAAGAATTCAACCCGGGGCCAGAGACAAGGCTTGATCTCTCAGAGCTTTTGTGTAATAAAGTTTTATTGAAGTATAAAAGAGATAGAGAAAGCTTCTGACATAGACTTAGAAAGGGGCAGAAAGAGTGCCCCCTCACTAGCATTAGCAATGGAGTTATGTACTTCTAATTAGTTATTACGGTGAATCAAAAGAATGTCTGGAGGTTGTAAAGACCTTACTAGACTCACTCCCATAATTTACATTTTAAGATAACAGGATTAGCCAGAACTAATTTTTTTTTTTAGAACTAAGTTTTTTTACAGAACAGTTTTTTTCCAGAAACTGTCCTCAAGCAGGATACATTATTGTTGTATAATCCTAAGGAATGTAGAGGGGAAAAAAAGTTTGTCCTTTCCTCTTCCTTGAGAATTCCAGACCCCTCTCTCCTTGGGGACCCCCAGACTTCTTATCAACCTGCCTAGGAATTGACTCTCAGAATAGTGAACTTTGTTTCAGCTGTGCGAGCACTCACATGGTCCTCATTTAAGGTCCCACTTGGGACACACGTTCAGCCCATATAAGAACAATTTCCAGAGGTTTTCCTTAGCTCACTGTACACTTTCTCCCCTTGGCCATTTAGTGCTTCCTTGTCCAGAGTCCATAAGTCTGTGCATGCTTGCTTTGGCTAGGCTGCCAAGCTCTTGTAAGGGCTACAGGAGGCTCCGTGGGGTCTCCTGCAGGCATTTTGCTCCCCACCCAACATGTGAGCACTGCTGGAGCACAGAGGGGCAGGGCATGGGGCAGGATGGGCTGGGGGTGAGCAGAGCCTGGAAGTGGCCGTGCCTTGCACAATTCCAGCAGGTGTCCCCTCACTACACAGCTGTGCCGAGTGGGGAAAATGTTCTGAATTTTGATGGATGTTGTACAGATGGAGATGCCACAGGTGGGGTTACCTACACAGCTGACTGTGGGAAGAGAGCTTGGAAATGGCAGGAGAAGGTGGGGTCTGGCTGGCCCACACACACTTGGGGAGACAGAATATGCACTTGTGCGGGGTGGAGGGGTGCTGACCCGGTGCCCGGGTCTTGGAGAAACGGCTCAGGGGCCGGCCGTGCCCCTCAGACATTCTCAGCCTCATCTGCACAGTGAGAACAGTCCTGTTAGTGATCACGTGGTGCCAAGCTCCCAGGTTCTGCTTGTGGTGGGATGCAGTGTGGATCCCTGCCCAGGGACCTTCCACCACTCCCAGGGTTGTCCTGGCTAGATGTCTGCAAGCTAGATGTCTGGGCTTCAGGGCTCTGGTTCTCAAACTGCTTTTTGCCAGGTCCCCACAGGCTTCGCTGGTAGCCCAGATGGTATAGAGTCTGCCTGCAATGCAGGAGACCTGGATTTGATCCCTGGGTGGGAATGATCTCCTGAACATAGAGACCCGGATTTGATCCCTGGGTGGGAATGATCTCCTGAAGAAGGAAATGGCAACCCCCTCCAATATTCTTGCCTGGAGAATCCTATGAACAGAGGAGCCTAGCAGGCTATAGTCCATGGGGTCACAAAGAGTTGTACACAGTTGAGCGACTGTCACTCACAGGCTACAGTCCAAAGGGTCAAAAAGTGTCAGATGCAACTTAGCAATTAACACTTAATACCACAGCACAGTAGTGGTGATTTCAGGTGGGTAGCCTGCCCGCAGCTGCCTTCCCTGGGCAGAGAAAAATGTTAACACAGAAGAGAAAGGACCAGAACCTTGACCCTGGTTTTGAATTTGTTCCACGGCTCGAATTCATAGTCCATTTTAGTGGCTGAGGGGCACATGCTGCTGTGACCAGCAACAGCAGGTAGAGCCGTGGGCAGGCTGATCCCACGTCGGCAGTGAGCGAGGGAAGCGAGAGGGTGGGCTCGTGCCTTCCTGTCCTGTCTCTGGAGGTGGGGGCTGCAGGTCGAGGGCGTCATGCCTATGATGGTTCCGGGGCCCCTTCCCTGGCCAGACCCTGGGACCTCTCACTGTTCTGACCTTGCTTCTAGGGAGAGAAAAGGGAAGGGGTGGATGGACCCAGTGTGGCCTCCTCCCACCCTGGACTCTGCGGACTGCTTTCCTCTTGGAAGTAGAAAACATCACGTTCTTCCTGGCTGGAAGTATACTTCTGAGTCCCCGCTGTGTACACAGGCCTGTTGATCCAGCAGCTCCTCCTGTGTTTTTATAGATCCCGCCCATCCTCTTGGTGGCTCAAACAGTAAAGAATCTGAAGATCCTGTGGAGAAGG